ATATAAAAAAAAGGCACAAAATGCAAAATGTCAAGTGACAAGGAAATATAGGGCCTTGGTACGTGGAGGGGGAGAAAACACAATGGCCCCTTTTCACTGCAGGAAGATTTGCTTCTTGTTAGCTCACTCACCCCAAGTCACTTCAGCTGGGACTTAAACCCAGATCTCCTATGTGGTAGACAGGAATGCTGCCACACAGCCACCACTGGCAACACTGCTCCGGCCTTCTAGGGGTCTTGACCTTCCTGGAGCCCCAGCCTCACATTGAGCTGCCTGGCCTCTGATTGGAGGAGCTGCAAGCAGAGCTGGGAACCTCTCAGGTTGCTTGCTGGAGCGGAGGGAGCTTCTTCTGCTGGCTGCAGCCTCTCCCAGGGGATCTTGGAGCCCAGTGGGGGGCCTCTCCTGCTGGCCACATGCTGCACTGCTGAGGGTCCCACTGCTGCCTGCAGGTCCTGCTCTTTCAGTCTCTTCTGGGGCACTGCTCCTACCCTGCTGGCTCAGCTCTTGCCAGCTCTGTGAAGCTTCTTCCTTGTTGTCCCTCACTGGTCTCTCCTGACTCAGCCCATGCTGCCCCTTTTATCCCCCTCCAGGTGACCCAAAGGGCCAATCAGGGGACACGGGGGGAGGGGGGAGGAGTCTCTGGGGCCTGATTGGTGCAGAAAGGGAATCCCAAGTCCTCCAATCATCTTTTGCCCTTTCAAAACCCTTGGGCCAGGTCACTGCCAGCCAGCCCGTCACAAGTACATCATTAATACATCAAAGACATGAAATCCTTTCATTTGCTAGTTTTTGCTCTTAAATAAGCTGCCACCCGAAAACCTATGTAGTCATAATTAGGTCCGCTCTTACCACTACAGTCCAAAAGATTCCATGTTCCATTACCCAGGCCTCTGGTAGCTGTTGATTATGATTGCAGTTTAATACAAATGCATTTAGTACACCAAACTCTCTAGGTTCAAGATGTAGGGACTCTGTTCACCCATCAATTCAGTGGTTTAGTTCCCTGTTACAACTGGCTGGACACTGGATATGTCTGTCTTTGCAGAGTTCCTTTCGGAAGGTGACCTTGCTTTCTGGGAAGAGCTGTTTCTTTTATAGTGACAGTTCTCAACCCAGGCATGCCTAAAAGGAGGGGAGATAGACTGAAGTGCATGGCTCTGAGCTTCACTCTTCCGCTTGCACACGCAGAGCAGGGACTTGAGCTCGGAACGGAAGCTTTCATTCAGCCAACAGTAAATGAAAGGGTTGTAACAGGTGCTGCTCATGGCAAACCAATGGAAAGCAAAATACAGAGCATTGTTGCTGTGGATGGCCCTACTGGAAATGAGCACTAGGTAGCAGTTTAGTGGGAACCAGCAGACAGCAAAGACCACCACCACCACCATTAGCATCTTCAGTGTCATCTTCTTCTTCCGCTGATGTGCATAGTATTGCTCCA